CAAAAGTCGATAGCGTGCATGAGTGTGTGTGAGTACAACGGTGGAGAAGGCTGCAGCGGTTGGGGGCGGTTTAACGTGCGTTCATCAGCGCATTTTAATGTACGCTATATATCGATGCAAGCGACAGACAGCGGCGTTGACTTTAATTAATTGCAAAAGTAGATGTAACAACAACAACACTAATGTTGTGAAAAACAAACAAAACAAAACAAAGACAATAAGTAAGAAGTCAACGTCCAATAATAAGTGAATTAATTGGCGCTTTGTGTGCGCACATTTACCTTTTCTTTGTTTTATTTTCTTACTTTTTTTTAATTCTACTTTTACTAGTACTAAGAACACGATTTTTTATGTGCTCCTATTTTTTTATAGCTTTCGACTTGTCAACGACCAACAAAGCGCGCGCTGTTAGTACTTTTACATACATACTCTACCACACCACACGTTGGAACCTCCAAGCTATCGGGCAACCGAGCAAACGTGCGGTACAGTAGAGCACCACACAAAGCAAAGCGGTTTCGGTGGGAAGAGGAAGTCTCACTAATTTTTTGGAAATTTTCCACCACTTCGTTGTGCTGCAGCTGCGTCGATTCGTAATATTTAGCTGATTTTTGTACACATACATACGTGCATACATATCTACGAGAATATTAAAGCCGCACACATTGTGGGAAAATCGCTAAAATGGTGCTGACGAACTTTGAGTGTTGGGCACATGGTGGTGGTGCTGTTGTTGGCAGCGATGGCTTTGCGCTTGACTCACGTCACGTGGATATGTTCAATACGCGTATGGTGCAGCAGCGCTTAAACAACGCAACCGGAATAGCGGCCGTGTCGCACATCTCCTCGAATGGCTATTATGGATTTTCCTATGTAAATGCAGCGCATGAGTCGGCTGACGACAACAGTCACAACAACAACAACGACGACATTAATAATACGAATGTTAACCTTAACAACAACAACAACAACAATAACAATAATAACAACAGATGTGTGCCAAATGCAAATAATGTCAATGGCATGCCGTTGATGCACCACAACAACAACCACAGCAGTAGCATGAACGTCAGTGCAATCAGCGTTGACGCTGGCTTTCCTACCGCCGCCGCCGCCGCCGCCGCGACATTTGGCACACAACGCTGCAAGAAGCGCTACTTTGCGAGCGATGATGACTATGCCAACTGCGCCTTGCTCAACGGCTGTGACAGTGGCGTGGGTGCCGACGGTCTTGATGTGTGCGTCGCCGCTGCCGCCAAGCGTTGCCGCTTCGATGATGACTACGCTGCCGCGCAGTACTGTAATGGTAATTTCATTCAAATTATTCTCGTTTTTGTGTGTGTTTTTTTGTTAATTTTTATTTGTTTATGACTTTCTTTGTTTTATTTTGTTTTTCTTTCGTATTTTGCGTGTTGTGTGCAACTGTTGTAACATTTGTTGTTGCATTTTTTATTTCATTACTACATATAGCGTGTGTTTATATTAGCGCTCCATGTGTTGAGTGTGTTTTTCCGTGTTTTCTTTGCGCTACGTGAGTTAAATGAAACATTTATTTTTACTATAAATTTGAAGGTCAAGCGCGTAAACTGCATTTAGAACAAATGTATGCAATTCATACATAGGTTTTTACGAAAATCAAGGACCGTAGGTAATCATCATAATAAATAAAACAAATAATTTTAAGTCATCAGCATTTCATGATAATTTTATGATTTTTATTATTTCGCTCAACGAAAATACATAATTATTATTTGATTTTTAGTTAGAAGTATTATTAAAAAAATTAAACCAAATATTAATTATTTATTATCTTTGAGCGAAAAAAATAAAAATGATAAAATAATCATCATTTTGGCCGAAAAAATTTAAATCAAATATTATTTTTAATTTTTTTTGCTTAAACTCGAAAAATAAAGATCATTGTAGATAACAGTAGAACGTACGATTACAAATACAAGTGTGAGTATAAATAGTTAAATTCGTTTTACGACGCTTACAACTTGTTGATTTTTTTTTACCATTTTTTTTTTATTATTTCTGTTGCTTCATTGAATTACTTTGCTGTTGCAAATTAAGTGCATAAACGAGCATTTTTTCTTGATTCCTTTAGAAATTAAATTACTCCCAATTACAAATTACAAGGAATTGTAATTAGGAATCAATTTCTTCAGTCCGCAGCAAAGGAATTCATTAGTTTTTCAATTTTTTAGAAGTAATTTCAAATGTAATTTTTTTTAAACTCCATTACAAGGAATTTCATATTGTAATTCGAATAAATTCGAAATTGGAAATGTAATATATTTTCTTCCATTTCCATTACCTGGAAACAGTAAAATTAATTGAGAAACTGAAAGTTCATGCACGAGTGTTAAATGTGGATTTTTTTTCTTCTGTAATCAAAGAATAAAATGGATGCATTAGACTTCTTCTTTCTACATCTATGTACATACACATACATACATACAGTGCCGGACAAAAGTATTGGCACAGAGAATTTTTCGCAATATATGCAAAGTTTTTTATTCTAATTTATTTTCAATATTTTTTAATAAAAATATAGTTCGTACTTCACCAAAAAACATAAAAACAAAATCTCTAAACTTTGTGCAAAACTCAGGAAAATTCAGTAAATTTGCATACTAATCTGCAACTTCTTATTCAGATTTTTTAGAGAAATTCTAAGTATGTAGTTTTATAGCCCAACTAATTTTAGTATAACAAAGTGCAAGTATGAAGTATCTAAAAAATTGCGTTGATTTTTGGAAATTTTTTTAGTAGAAGGTGTTGCTCATTTTCTCCATACAAAAAATAATTGTCGAACATACTTTGTACGGAAGAACCTGACTGAAAGAAAATTGCCAAAAATCAATGCGATTTTTTAGCACCTTCAAGCTTGCACTTTGTTAAACTAAAATTAGTTGAGCTATAAAACTGCATACTTCGAATTTTTCTAAAAAATCTGAATAGAAAGTTGCAAATAAGTATGCAAATTTATTGAATTTTCCTGAGTTTTGCACAAAATTTAGAGATTTAGTTTTAATGTTTTTTGGTGTAGGACGAACTATATATTTATAAAAAATTATCGAAAATAAATTAGAATGAAAAACTTTTCAGATATTGCGAAAATTTCTCTGTGCCAATACTTTTGTCCGGCACTGTATATTCTTTATAATATAATTTCACTTGTAACTAATGTATGTATGTCGTGTTTAAATGAAAAAACAGAAGCTAAATACGCTTTTATTGCCATCTGTGCAGTTACATATGTAAATATGTAAGTATGTATAAGTATATAAAATTTGCTATGATGGAGCCCCAGATGGTGATGATTTCAAAATGTGTAGGTATTTAAGAGTAACATTAAAAACTACTCGTATACACGAGGCATCAAAACGCAGAGTGTCTTCTGTCTCGATTTGAAAAAAAAAAACAAGATGGCTTCAGAAAATCTATAAATAGAAAGTAATTGCATATATCCAGAGAAACAACCATTTACAGGTGTATTCTGCGCTGGTAATAAAAATTTTGTTACCGGTATATAAAGTTCCTGTAAATTTTTAAACCTTTTTCGCAATTGGTGTACTCTTGTAACCGGTAAATTTTGTTACCATCTCATAAGCTGGTAACAAAATATTGCCCCGTGAAATATGCAATGCCAGAATTTCCACAATTCTTCATGGCTGAATTGCTGAATATATAGCATTACCAACGTTCCTAGAATCCCGGTGACATGAACAGGTAACATTTTTGGTAATAAAATTTTCCGGTTACAAAATCTTCGGTTACGTGCAGAATAGACCTGTTATAGTTCTAAAAGTCTATAATACGAAGGGACAGAGGCCGATAATGAAATTCTTAAGTTTTTTCAAGCAAGAGTTTTAAAAATTGTCAATTCTATTGACAGTGTTTTATATTTCTATGTACAGTTCACTAGTTTCGAATCTAATATATGTATATGTATGTATCAAGATATGTCCTTTGTGCTCGACGGTTGCGATGTTTGTTTGGACTGATTTCGCACCAGTCATTGGCCATTGGTTTATGACAGAAAACGTCTATACATACACGTTGAAATACATACATACGTATACATATATATATTTTTTTCAATTCCAGATATGTTTAAACTTTAAAGTATAAAACATATCAACCCTGGGAAAAAAGTATCAGTACTGAATGGTAAAACCGTGTGCATTCATTTTAAATATACAATCATGTGTGTGTGCGAATGCTTCTGTTACATTCACATTCCATACTGAATGTCAATCTACCATTCAATAACACAACACAGTTTATTTGTTTTCAAGCATTTTAAGCCACTCAGGAATGAGGTTTTTTGTATACAAACAAACCATGATACAATAATTTTTTGAAGGTAGTTTCACTTCAAAATTTTTGACATAAACCGTGTCTGTGACAAACACGCAATGTGGCCACTGCTACGATATAGAACTTGGGGATTTTCGCTTGCTATTTTAGATATTTTTTAACAGAACATGTAAAGATTTA